TCTCCATCACCCACTTCTTTCCTCTTAGGGCCCCTCCCTCTCTGTTGGATTTGACATCAACTTCACAGTTCAGAGCTGATCACTAAAAATAAATTAAAAGGGCAAACAACAGAATGTATCTAAATTTTTGAGAATTTTAAAAAACCTTCCCATTAAGGGCTGCATTGGAGAGAAAAGCAGTAGATTGGGGAAGACTGAGCTTGAGGGGAGATGGGGGCGGGTGTGGGGCAGAGTCAGGCTTGGGGAGACTGAAGCGGGGGGCAGCGACTGGCCTTGGAGAGGAGCAGAGTCTTATTCTCCTGAGCTGGGAGGGAAGCAGTGAGGTGAGGATGTGGAACTCCTGATGAGTGTATTGGCAAGGAGGTAGGAGATTGCGCCAAGTGAGTCAACTGCCTCAAGTTTCACCCTGTGGAGGTTGAGGCGGATTCTTGAGAAGCAGTGAAAGCAAGTCTATTCTGTAGCTGACGGAAGGAAAGAGGATGGGCCTTCCGGGGGTGTGCAAACGGCTTTGTTCCTTACAACAAAAGTTCCTATTACAAATCCCACCCCAGCCAGGTGCGGTGACGCATGACTGTAATTGCAACACTTTGGGAGGCCAAGGCAGGTGGATTGCCTGATCCTCTGAATTGGAGACCAGCCTGGGTAACATGTTGAAACCTCAACTCTACAAAACAATACACAAAATTAGCCGGGTGTGGTGGCGTGCACTGTAGTCCCAGCTACTTGGGAGGCGGAAAGGTGGGAGGGCTGCTTGAAGTCAGGATGTTGAGGCTGCAGTGAGCTATAATCACACCACTGCACTCCAGCCTGGGCGACAGAGACCCTGTCTCAAAAAAAAAAAAAAAAAAAAATCTCACCCTGGCAACCCCATAAATTACAGGTGTGTGTAGAAATTGGCACAACCACTTTGGGGAAGTATTAGAATTGCTGTTTCTTCTCCTGTTTGGAATTAGGCCAAGTCTAATTCTCCTTCCTTTGAATCTGAGGTGGCCTAGGTGACTTGTGTGACCAGCAGAATTGGCGGAGGCGATGCTGCATGCCTTCTAAGGCTCGGCCAGCAGCAGCCTTGTGGCTTCCACCTCTGTCTTCTTGAACACTTGCTCTGGGGGAAGCCAGCTATGTTGTAAGATGCTCCACCACCCTGAGATGGCCACACTGGAGAGGCCTCATGGAGGACGAGCTTGGCGGTCCCAGCTGAGCCCAGCCTCGCAGCTGTCCCTGCTGAGGCACCAGATATGTGGGTAAAGCCATCTGGGACCCTCCGGATCACATGGTCGCCAAATACTTAAATGATCTTAGTCTGAGCTAAATGGAGAGAAGAACTGCCTGGCTGAGCCTGCCTGAGTTTGTAGCCCACAGAATAGACGTAATAAAACGGTGGTTGTTTTCAACCACTAAATGTTGGGGTGATTTGTTAGGTCGCAATAGACCACCGGAACAAGTACCATCCACCAGAGCTGAACGTACCCAGATCCTAGGACCTTACCCATCACACTTCTGGATAAACATCTCACAAATACTTGTCACTATGTGCACCAAGACACAGCAAGAAAGGTCACAGCAGCATCATACTCATTATGTTACCAATCTGGAATCGACACACAAAAAAAGCAGGATGAGAATGATACATCTGCTGGTCTGGACTGCATGGAACAGGAAAGTCGCAGAGGGAAGGAGGGAGAGAAATCTGGAGGGGCTTTTGTGACCTAATTAGGAGCATTCCCAATCCCATGGCTGCGCAGTGCTGAGGATGACACCCACCGTCACCACTTCCTCCACCCACACTGCGCGTGTGAGCCGGGGCTTCTCCGGAGCCAACCCCACTTTCCACCTGTGAATTTGCTCTGATCATTACAGGCTTACAGCATGTGAGGCACTGTGCCTATTGAAAAGAAAGAAAGACAGAGAGGATGGAGGGAAGGACAGGAGGAAAGGGAGGAAGGGAGGAGGGAGGAGAGGAAGGAAAGGAGAAGGAAAGAAAGGGAGAAGCAGCAGGAGGCAGGAAGGTAGGAAAGAAAGAAGAGAGGAAGGAAGAGAGGAAGGGAAGGAGGAAGGAAGGAAGGGAAAAGGGAGAAAGGAAAGGAGCAAGGAAGAAAAATAGAAACGAAGCAGGGAGGGATGAAGGGAGAGAAAGAGAGAAAGAAAGGGA